GTTCGAGGCGTATCTCACGGAGCGTATGTATCCGACGACGCGATTGCCCTCTTCCTTCTCTCCACCACCACTACCGCTACCACCACTACTACTACTACCCTCGGCAGTTCTCGCGCATGTAGAAGAGAACCACGCATACACGCGCAAACACGTACACACGCGCGCGCGAGATCGGCCATTGAGCCGCGAACAGAGCTCTCTGCTGGCTACATACGCCCTCGTTTCTCACCCCCACGATCGGGCCGGGTCTCTGGCGAGAGGTCTACGCGAGAGAGCGGCCCTCGACTTTGTCCCTTTTCCCTTCTCACGCGCTGTTTGAACGGGCTCCTCGCGGCCAATATGGCGGATGACGCGATGCGTTTGCCCACCACTGTCGTTGCCTCCGTCCTCGACGGTCTCAGCGACGCTGACGCGAGGCGCCGCGACGCGAACCTAGCCGCCGCGCCACCGCCACGCCGACGCCGACGCAGCCCGGCCGTGTTTCGCTTCGTGCTCGCGACCCTTCGTCGTGCGTGCGAACGACCCGCTGATGGACTCCTTTTCGACTCCTTCTCTCTCGTTCACGAAGACGCGTGTCCTTTCGGTGGTTGGGCGGAGGGAGAAGGGGGAGGGGGAAGAGGGTGGGGAAGGGAACGGTGTCAATGAGCCTGTGAGAATCCTACGGACGATTTTTATCCGATTATTTCGGGGAATCCCAGTTGAAAGAGTTTCTTTGTGGCTCAACCGTTGAGGAGGATCTAACTGGTGAAATAGTACGTAATGATGGATTTAATGGTTTTGAAGGAGAGTCGAGTAAAATATCGAGTGAAAGAGAAGTATACTTAATTGATCATCCTGGGATTTACTTTTTTTTTATTCAATAGTTTGGAAGGAGTTATTGGTGTTGAAATCAGATTTAATAATAGTTTCTTATCTCTTTTAAAGTTTCTTGTTTTTGTAATTTTCTTTTCTTTTTTTTTTTAGTAGTTTTATTTTCTCTAAGCCGATTGTTGATCGACAGATATTCGCAAGTACGGAAGTTTTATTATGGATGACTGTAACAGGTGCTGTTTCTCCGATAGTTCGCGCGCAACAATACGCATGTGATCTGTTTGAGAATAATAAGCGATGACGCGTACCACGTGCCATACCACGGGATGACGTAAAGCTTTGACGTCGACGAAATGTATTTGGTCTTATCGTTTCTGCTCTTGCATTCCTAGAAAATAAGGTTCATTTGGATCTCTTTTTTATTTCTTTTCTTTTTTTTTTTTTTTTTTGGA